ACTTGTCGTTTTGTTACATATGACTTATTTTCATAAAAGAACTTTTCATGTAATTTTCTATGTTCAATTTGCATTTTATTGTTTGTTTTCGATATACGTTTTGATTTTTATACGGCTGTGTTTGTACGTCAGTCTTAATTTTTATTTCGAAAATCTCAGAAACTCAGCAATAATTACGCAATAGAGGTGTGTTGTAGAATTTTTATTTTTACGTACTGCTAGTTTGATGTTGACTTAAAAAGTTATATTTTATCAAGTACGATTCACAGCCGAAGTACTGCGTCAGAGTAAAATAGACGCAAATCCATGCGTATTATAGAATGATCCCCAAGTTTCTTTTAAATTTCTGACTAATGACTCTGAATTACAGAAAATTAATCATAATCTATTTTTTTACATTTCTGTCAATCCATTCTGATGCGCGATGAATCGTACATAACGTGTGTTGTCCAAACTAAAAGGTCATTAAAATGACAATTAAATTGAATGTAACGGCGTTCACTTTTGTAATGAATTTATCTCCAAAACATCACAGGTAGATAAATCACATGCAAGTTTTGTTCAAGCATTTCAACCATTTACGGTCCCTCTTCCTTTTTTCTACCGTCCATAAATGTTGTCAACACGTAGTTGTAGGTAAGCCGCGATTTAATTTCCCGCCATATTTCCTTTCACTCTTACATAAAACGCACACTGATCATTGTATGTAGACAAAAATCTGAGCTTTTATTTTTAAAGAACAATGTGATGTTACGAACTTACAAATTGACCACGAAGTGTTAGTGATTTTATCGTAATTTCCCCGTTTTGTATTTCTATTAAAAATAATGACTATCCCTACGCTACTTGGTGTATGTATATCATGGTGATGTGATATATTTAAGGTGTTAAAACTATTTCATACTTTTAGACTGGCCGTGGACGGCGTGAAATCTGTCAATAAGTTTTTTTTTATTCTGACTTTGGCACAACAACATGGCGGCCATATAGTTGATTTACGTTTGTACCCCGTCTAGATATTTTATTTAATTTCGTTTGAATGTTCGCATAAATTTAGTGGAAAAAATATAGGATTAAATCAAATAGTGAGTTAAGAATATTAAAAGTGTAAGATCTTCGCTTGTCTGTTACGTTATCTACTTTGTTAATGTTTCTGTTTGTTTGTGTGACATGTTTTTGTTAAACTGTGTCGTTCAAAATTTGGTTTTGGAGGGAAAATATTAACGATCCGGAACAGTATATCAGTTACAAACTGCGATTATTTTATTTGATATTTATTACAGTGGCTGTTACTCTGAAAATATAAAAATATTTTTGCTTTAAAAATGGAATAGAAAATATTCATTCCTAGTCGCTATCAGATATCAAATATTATCTATCTATTGTTTATAATTGATAGCGACCTTTTCTCTCTGATTCGATGAATTTTATTAATTTTATTTTAAATTGTATTTTTATATTATTCATTAGCATTTTTGTTTTATATTTTCGCCTCCAAAATTAAATATTTAAAAGATTTGTTTAACATATTATATGTATTTTAAATGAAAAAAGTTACCAATGAGAGTTACGAAGATATACATAGGCATATAATTATATACCCTGTACCTACCTATAGCATATAATATAGTTATAAAACATACATATGACATATAGTATGTAAGAATGATATGAGAAATAAAAAATTTAAAATAAAATGTTGCGTTTTATTTATTGAGCCCAATATTTTATTTTTACATCCGAAAATGAAAACTATCCATTCAATATAGGTAGGTAATATTTAACGGCTCGATGGAGCGGTAGTATGTGAACCACCTCTACGATATATAAAAAATCCTAGTGGGATCAACGTTTTTTTTTTAATTAAAATAAAAAACCCGAACAAGTGAGTGTAGTGCTCACGCCCCAAGGGTTCCGTACAATTTTTTTTCTTTAAAATTTACTTATAAATAATTAGGCGCCTTGGAACACGCAACTTTTGATTAGTTGCCGGAAATGTAATTTGAAATTAGCCCAAAAGACTACAATATTAATATAATAATGTTGTTTTTATATTTAAAGGCAAAGGAATACCACTAAGTCACTGAATTCTTCTCCTGCGGTCGCCGAATCATTACTTAAACAAAATGTAAATGCGTGTACAAAGAATTTTGCATTTCATAAAGTATCATCAAAAGATATTGTAAAATATTTTAAAACTATTGATGTTAAGAAAACTGCGGATCTATGGGGGATTTCCGTTAAAGTTATTGCGTCTATAATAGATACAATCGCGCCTCATTTAGCTATTATTTTTAATACTAGTATCGAATCTGGTGTGTTTCCTGATTTAATGAAGTATAGTAAAGTAATACCTTTAGTTAAATCTGGTAGTACATTAGACCCCGCCAATTTTAGACCTATTTCTGTACTACCAACACTTAGTAAGATTTTTGAAAAAATTATTATTGATCAAATGTTAAATTTCTTTAATATAAATAATTTACTTCATAAAAATCAATTTGGTTTCACAAGGGGTCGCTCGACAACTGATGCCGGTGTTGAGCTGATTAAATATATATTTAATGCATGGGAGAATTCACAGGATGCTTTGGGTATATTTTGTGACCTATCCAAAGCCTTCGATTGTGTTCACCATGAAACATTAATCAGGAAACTTCAACACTACGGTGTAAGAAGTGATGCTCTTAAATTAATTATTTCATATTTAAGTAAGAGAACGCAAAAAGTTGTCATTAACAGTATGAGTTCTTCCGGGTCGATGGTACAATGGGCGTGCCTCAAGGCTCAATTCTCGGCCCCTTTCTGTTTCTTGTATACATTAATGACTTACCTTACATAGTAGGAGATAAGCATGATATAGTATTATTTGCAGATGACACTTCTTTAATTTTCAAATTAAGTCGACAATTGCTAAAATATGACGAAGTAAATAATGCTATATCTAAATTAGTAAATTGGTTCAATGTTAATAATTTGGATTTAAATGGCACTAAAACGAAATGTATGAAATTTATGACTCCAAATGTCAAACAATTAAATACTAATGTAATTTTAAATGGGGAGAAACTGAGTCTTGTAGATACCACCATTTTTCTTGGAATCACACTAGACGCGAAGCTTCAATGGAGCCCCCATATATCAAAACTAGCAAGCAGACTTAGTTCTGCAGTATATGCCGTAAAAAAGATTAGAAGTCTAACTAGTGTTGAAACAGCTAGACTAGTTTACTTTAGCTATTTCCATAGCATAATTTCATATGGTATTTTGCTATGGGGACACGCAGTTGACACTGAAATTATATTTGTTTTACAGAAGAGGGCCATAAGAGCAATTTATGATTTAAAGCCTAAAGTCGCTGCGACAAAAAATTAAGGAAATTAATATATTAACTTTGGCCTCTCAATACATTTATGAAAATGTAATGTACGTATACAAGAATAAAAGTAGTTTTACGAAAATAAGTGATATTCATTCTGTAAATACTAGGAACAGACACAAGCTAGTAGTACCAGTTACTCGACTCCATCGAGTCAGTAATTCATTCTTGGGGCGATGTATACACTTTTACAACAAAATTCCAGAAAATATACAAAATTTAACCTGCTCAAAGTTCAAAAACTTTATTAAACTAAGTATGGATAAAAAGGGTTAAGGGTTAACTAAGTTTGTATAATATTAATGAATTTATAGATGATAATAACTCCTGGAAATGAGGTGATCGCTACCAAGCTATTTCTAATTTGTTGTGTTGTTAATTTGTGTAACATACATGATTGTAAGCTGTTATTTAAAAATAAAGTCCCGCTGGGTTTCTTGCTGGTTCTTCCCAGGACAGAGGTTTTTTTCGAACCAGTGGTAATTATACAAAAGAGTGACTTTCAATAAGTATTATTTATAATCTATATTGAATAAAAAAGTTTCTGTTTCTGTTTCTGTTTCTGTTTCAGAATCTTTGCCCATACAACATATGTGTCTCACTGAGAACTTTTAAGGATATTTTACGATAGTTTAACTGAACAGTGAACGCTGATAATGTTAGTATCTAAAAGCGCCAATGGAACAATTTAATATGTCGTTTATTAGTCCCATGCGGATTGGGGAGCGCGGTAACATGTTTTAAGTCGACGTCGATGGTATTGGGTTAAAACGAGATAAATATACTAACACCTGTTGGAGGGTTAAAGAATCTTTATGGGTGATTTGATTAAGTCACTTATTCATGCCCCCACCTCTGGGAGACTATGTATATGTAAAATATAGATTTCTTAAATCTTAAAAGTAAGCACCTTAAAAGTTAAAAAAGTGGATATTTACTGCCAATGAAGAAAAAGAAAAATATGATAGATACAAAACTTTTTTAAACATTGTGAAAATATTACATCTGACTAAAAATAAAATAATATACACACGTCCACTGCAGCCCCCAAGGAATACAACAAACATGCTCCAGAGCCACCTGCATCCATCGACAACCTGCACGATTTACCAGATGTCCCTCTATCTAGTTGTGAGAGACAAGCATCGTTATGTCGTCCAAAGTTGTTTCAAATTGTAACTGTATGCTTATTAAAAATAATTGTAGACGCTAAAACTACAAACAAAGGTACATTTCCGCGGTCTATCAGTCCGTGCAGTTAGTAAAATATATCTGTTACTTCTATCATCTTCTTGAACACAGTTTAGGTTCCAATAGAACGCTTAAATAGTTAGCCAAATTATAGAGAAATTTTACTAAGATGGTCACACTTTTTTGCTTCAGGTTGGTACTCGATAGCGCTTCATCTTTATCTTTAGGTTGGTCCGAGCTCACATCGTGTAATTATACTGTCTCTTGAATGCATCTCTATACCCTTCGGACCGGGAAAAAGCGGCATAAACACTGATATTTGACGGCAAGAATACTAATTATAATCAAGTTTTCTTGGTAAAGTTTCAAAACAAATAATGTTGCGTATTTTATGAAGTCCAAAGGGAAAATTTCAAATAAAAGAGCAAATTAAATAAAACTCTATATTAATATAATATAATAATAATATTGTGTGTGTGTCCGTAAAGATATTCATCGTTGCACTCTCCCCGTTGTCCCGTGCGTCGTGACTCGATCGTCGCGTGTACGTTACGTGCTCGTCTCTTACGGCTTGAGGCGTTTGTAGTTCGCGAGGTGGCTGTTCAGGTGTTGCGCCAGTTGCTCCGCTTTCGCAAATGACGCCTATAACAGTAACGAAATAAGGATTAAATTCGCTTATCACCAACATCAGTTTTGTTTAGCTGGGTTCAAACATTAATTATGCTGAGATGTCTTGGTGGATGTAATGGTGGACGTTTATTAAACGAACTTGTTAATTAAACCTTGTTATTAGTTCGTCAACCTACATCAATAGTATTTGTTCTCTGAATACATACATAAGTATATAAACTCTCCGTGTAGTGGCGGTGTAAGAATATCCATTACCCCATATCATCTGATGTGTGTCGTAAAAGGCGACAGAAGGAAACAACACACGTGTCGCGCACCTCGGACACGTGATGACGCGGGTGAAACCGCGGGGCACAGCTAGTCGAAGATAAATGGTAGACTGTGTGCATGACTGTGTACCGTTATACAATAAAAAACGCTGCTGCCTGTCTCCTGTTTCAGTTTCCCGTCGCCTGTTACGACACCAACGGGAGGATATGAGGTAGTGACTATTTTTACTATATAATATTATCATTTATTTATTAATAGTTTGTGTCAATCTTTATAAAAGTTAACATAGCGCAGACTCAGTCTGTAAGAGTGAACTGTGGACGCAGTAAGATAATGGTAACGCAAGAGTGAGACAATATGATGCACAGGTGCTCGTATTGCCATTATACGAATATTGAGACGACGCAGCGGTAGAGCTGCTTGGCGTCGTTGTGCATGTGGCGGGTGAACGAGTGCGCGTGACCGAAGCGCTTGCCGCACGCGTGCTCGTAGTGAAGCAGTGTGGTGCACTAGTGTACGTAGTGAGAGAGTGTGGTGCACGGGTGTACCTTGCAGACGACGCAGCGGTAGAGCTGCTTGGCGTGGTTGTGCATGTGGCGGGTGAACGAGTGCGCGTGGCCGAAGCGCTTGCCGCACGCGTGCTCGTAGTGAGGCAGTGTGGTGCACTAGTGTACGTAGTGAGACAGTGTGGTGCACGGGTGTACCTTGCAGACGACGCAGCGGTAGAGCTGCTTGGCGTGGTTGTGCATGTGGCGGGTGAACGAGTGCGCGTGGCCGAAGCGCTTGCCGCACGCGTGCTCGTAGTGAGGCAGTGTGGTGCACTAGTGTACGTAGTGAGACAGTGTGGTGCACGGGTGTACCTTGCAGACGACGCAGCGGTAGAGCTGCTTGGCGTGGTTGTGCATGTGGCGGGTGAGCGAGTGCGCGTGGCCGAAGCGCTTGCCGCACGCGTGCTCGTAGTGAAGCAGTGTGGTGCACTAGTGTACGTAGTGAGAGAGTGTGGTGCACGGGTGTACCTTGCAGACGACGCAGCGGTAGAGCTGCTTGGCGTGGTTGTGCATGTGGCGGGTGAACGAGTGCGCGTGACCGAAGCGCTTGCCGCACGCGTGCTCGTAGTGAAGCAGTGTGGTGCACTAGTGTACGTAGTGAGAGAGTGTGGTGCACGGGTGTACCTTGCAGACGACGCAGCGGTAGAGCTGCTTGGCGTGGTTGTGCATGTGGCGGGTGAACGAGTGCGCGTGGCCGAAGCGCTTGCCGCACGCGTGCTCGTAGTGAGGCAGTGTGGTGCACTAGTGTACGTAGTGAGACAGTGTGGTGCACGGGTGTACCTTGCAGACGACGCAGCGGTAGAGCTGCTTGGCGTGGTTGTGCATGTGGCGGGTGAGCGAGTGCGCGTGGCCGAAGCGCTTGCCGCACGCGTGCTCGTAGTGAGGCAGTGTGGTGCACTGATGTATGTAGTGAGACAGTGTGGTGCACGGGTGTACCTTGCAGACGACGCAGCGGTAGAGCTGCTTGGCGTGGTTGTGCATGTGGCGGGTGAGCGAGTGCGCGTGGCCGAAGCGCTTGCCGCACGCGTGCTCGTAGTGAGGCAGTGTGGTGCACTAGTGTACGTAGTGAGACAGTGTGGTGCACGGGTGTACCTTGCAGACGACGCAGCGGTAGAGCTGCATGGCGTGGTTGTGCATGTGGCGGGTGAGCGAGTGCGCGTGGCCGAAGCGCTTGCCGCACGCGTGCTCGTAGTGAGGCAGTGTGGTGCACTAGTGTATGTAGTGAGACAGTGTGGTGCACGGGTGTACCTTGCAGACGACGCAGCGATAGAGCTGCTTGGCGTGGTTGTGCATGTGGCGGGTGAGCGAGTGCGCGTGGCCGAAGCGCTTGCCGCACGCGTGCTCGTAGTGAGGCAGTGTGGTGCACTAGTGTACGTAGTGAGACAGTGTGGTGCACGGGTGTACCTTGCAGACGACGCAGCGGTAGAGCTGCTTGGCGTGGTTGTGCATGTGGCGGGTGAGCGAGTGCGCGTGGCCGAAGCGCTTGCCGCACGCGTGCTCGTAGTGAGGCAGTGTGGTGCACTAGTGTACGTAGTGAGACAGTGTGGTGCACGGGTGTACCTTGCAGACGACGCAGCGGTAGAGCTGCTTGGCGTGGTTGTGCATGTGGCGGGTGAGCGAGTGCGCGTGGCCGAAGCGCTTGCCGCACGCGTGCTCGTAGTGAGGCAGTGTGGTGCACTAGTGTACGTAGTGAGACAGTGTGGTGCACGGGTGTACCTTGCAGACGACGCAGCGGTAGAGCTGCTTGGCGTGGTTGTGCATGTGGCGGGTGAGCGAGTGCGCGTGGCCGAAGCGCTTGCCGCACGCGTGCTCGTAGTGAGGCAGTGTGGTGCACTAGTGTACGTAGTGAGACAGTGTGGTGCACGGGTGTACCTTGCAGACGACGCAGCGGTAGAGCTGCTTGGCGTGGTTGTGCATGTGGCGGGTGAGCGAGTGCGCGTGGCCGAAGCGCTTGCCGCACGCGTGCTCGTAGTGAGGCAGTGTGGTGCACTAGTGTACGTAGTGAGACAGTGTGGTGCACGGGTGTACCTTGCAGACGACGCAGCGGTAGAGCTGCTTGGCGTGGTTGTGCATGTGGCGGGTGAGCGAGTGCGCGTGGCCGAAGCGCTTGCCGCACGCGTGCTCGTAGTGAGGCAGTGTGGTGCACTAGTGTACGTAGTGAGACAGTGTGGTGCACGGGTGTACCTTGCAGACGACGCAGCGGTAGAGCTGCTTGGCGTGGTTGTGCATGTGGCGGGTGAGCGAGTGCGCGTGGCCGAAGCGCTTGCCGCACGCGTGCTCGTAGTGAGGCAGTGTGGTGCACTAGTGTACGTAGTGAGACAGTGTGGTGCACGGGTGTACCTTGCAGACGACGCAGCGGTAGAGCTGCTTGGCGTGGTTGTGCATGTGGCGGGTGAGCGAGTGCGCGTGGCCGAAGCGCTTGCCGCACGCGTGCTCGTAGTGAGGCAGTGTGGTGCACTAGTGTACGTAGTGAGACAGTGTGGTGCACGGGTGTACCTTGCAGACGACGCAGCGGTAGAGCTGCTTGGCGTGGTTGTGCATGTGGCGGGTGAGCGAGTGCGCGTGGCCGAAGCGCTTGCCGCACTGCGCGCAGGCGTGCGGCAGCGCGGGCGACGGCGAGCCGTGCGCGCACGCGCGGTGCCGCCGCAGCTGCTCGTAGTGAGGCAGTGTGGTGCACTAGTGTACGTAGTGAGACAGTGTGGTGCACGGGTGTACCTTGCAGACGACGCAGCGGTAGAGCTGCTTGGCGTGGTTGTGCATGTGGCGGGTGAGCGAGTGCGCGTGGCCGAAGCGCTTGCCGCACTGCGCGCAGGCGTGCGGCAGCGCGGGCGACGGCGAGCCGTGCGCGCACGCGCGGTGCCGCCGCAGCTGCTCGTAGTGAGGCAGTGTGGTGCACTAGTGTACGTAGTGAGACAGTGTGGTGCACGGGTGTACCTTGCAGACGACGCAGCGGTAGAGCTGCTTGGCGTGGTTGTGCATGTGGCGGGTGAGCGAGTGCGCGTGGCCGAAGCGCTTGCCGCACTGCGCGCAGGCGTGCGGCAGCGCGGGCGACGGCGAGCCGTGCGCGCACGCGCGGTGCCGCCGCAGCTGCTCGTAGTGAGGCAGTGTGGTGCACTAGTGTACGTAGTGAGACAGTGTGGTGCACGGGTGTACCTTGCAGACGACGCAGCGGTAGAGCTGCTTGGCGTGGTTGTGCATGTGGCGGGTGAGCGAGTGCGCGTGGCCGAAGCGCTTGCCGCACTGCGCGCAGGCGTGCGGCAGCGCGGGCGACGGCGAGCCGTGCGCGCACGCGCGGTGCCGCCGCAGCTGCTCGTAGTGAGGCAGTGTGGTGCACTAGTGTACGTAGTGAGACAGTGTGGTGCACGGGTGTACCTTGCAGACGACGCAGCGGTAGAGCTGCTTGGCGTGGTTGTGCATGTGGCGGGTGAGCGAGTGCGCGTGGCCGAAGCGCTTGCCGCACTGCGCGCAGGCGTGCGGCAGCGCGGGCGACGGCGAGCCGTGCGCGCACGCGCGGTGCCGCCGCAGCTGCTCGTAGTGAGGCAGTGTGGTGCACTAGTGTACGTAGTGAGACAGTGTGGTGCACGGGTGTACCTTGCAGACGACGCAGCGGTAGAGCTGCTTGGCGTGGTTGTGCATGTGGCGGGTGAACGAGTGCGCGTGACCGAAGCGCTTGCCGCACTGCGCGCAGGCGTGCGGCAGCGCGGGCGACGGCGAGCCGTGCGCGCACGCGCGGTGCCGCCGCAGCTGCTCGTAGTGAGGCAGTGTGGTGCACTAGTGTACGTAGTGAGACAGTGTGGTGCACGGGTGTACCTTGCAGACGACGCAGCGGTAGAGCTGCTTGGCGTGGTTGTGCATGTGGCGGGTGAGCGAGTGCGCGTGGCCGAAGCGCTTGCCGCACGCGTGCTCGTAGTGAGGCAGTGTGGTGCACTAGTGTACGTAGTGAGACAGTGTGGTGCACGGGTGTACCTTGCAGACGACGCAGCGGTAGAGCTGCATGGCGTGGTTGTGCATGTGGCGGGTGAGCGAGTGCGCGTGGCCGAAGCGCTTGCCGCACGCGTGCTCGTAGTGAGGCAGTGTGGTGCACTAGTGTATGTAGTGAGACAGTGTGGTGCACGGGTGTACCTTGCAGACGACGCAGCGATAGAGCTGCTTGGCGGGGTTGTGCATGTGGCGGGTGAGCGAGTGCGCGTGGCC